GTTGTAATATCGGTATCGTATCGGAAGTGAAAAAGTGGTATCGGGACATCCAGTGAAATATATTTATGTTTGTGGTTGTAATGTGACAAAATATGGAAAAGTTCAAGGGGTATGAATACTTTTGCAAACCACTGTATATTTGTATTAGCTCAGCGCTACACATTCTCCTCTCATCACTGAGGTCCTCCATCCATGACAGAGAGGGGAACACAAAAATGACTCAGCCTGCAACTGAAAATATGGATGGAGGGCCTCAGTTTAGCTTGTTTGTCGCGCTAGCGCCGAGCTAATACATATAAGGCAATATAGCGTTGTTGACCAAATAAAATGGCTCTGTCCGTGTTAAAACAGATTTTAAAAAATTTTACAAAACTAAACAGTATTTTTACAGTGTTTATTTTACAGTTAAAATAAATGTTTGTCAAATAAAGTCTAAAGTTACAACTAATCAGGGATCCCTTTTAATGGTTTTTATCACTGTTTTTAAAATAAAAAAAAGATTTAAGTTCAAATCTACTCTAATTTAAAGCATGTTCCTTAAGCTTTTAAATTGTGTTTGTAACCGTCTGTGTTTTCCTCTCTTAGGGGTGGTATGTGAGTATTTGTCTGCAGTGCTCTTAGATGTGCTGCACTCTCAGAGAGAGCCACTCCCTCTCTGTCTGAGTTTGCTGCAGTACGATAAAGAGCTTGCATCCTCCCAACTCCCTGCTTCTGTTCATCAATCCATCATACACTTTCATCAGTATTATTCCATGTGGCTGCCACAGGAGAGCCACGAACAACTGGTCAGTGTTTATGTGCCACTATATTTACTGACACTTAGCTTAATATTTATATTCATAAAAATATTTAATTTTCTTTTACAGTTTAAGTCTTCTGAATGCCTTACAAAAGAACTGTCAGCCCCCTCATCATGCTCTTCACTACTGAAAGCTGCATACATCCAGGGACCAGGGGCTTTGCTTGAAGATGCCTTCAGGCAAAATATAGAAAAGACTTTAGCTTCCATGCCAATGTCAGAGTTTTCACTTGTTACCAAACAGATTTTACTCTACGTTAAATCAACTGTGGAAAACTTTGGCAAGGTAAGAGCAAAAATCGAGCGCAGCGCTCTATAAATTGTGAAACTAACAAGAATGATAATATCAAATTATTTTGCACAGTTCTCCAAGGACATTAGAGGAGCTCTTCTGGGGATCTTGATGGGAATGCTTCAAGAATTAGTAACTAAACTGCAAAGCTTTGTGGAGACTTCAGATTCTGAACCAGCTGCAGAGACGCAGAAAGAATCAGATCTCTTTTTGGAAGTCAACCAGTCGCCAACAGTCGAGGCCAGCAAAGAGCAGGTTGGAGAAGAGTTAATCCTTGAAGTTTTGTTTGATTTTGTGCATTACTCGTTCTGATCTGACACCATCTGTATTCAGGTTCTTGTTTCAGTTCTGGCCTCCATCTTTAAGCACCCGTGTTTGGAGCAGTGGTTTCTGGCTCTGGAGCTGGCTGCGTTTCCTCCTCACTCTTTGAAACCTGTTGCTCTAAAGCACTTGTGTGCTCAGATGACGGATAATACTCTGACCCTGCTGAAGATAAGTGCTCCTGCTCTTTATGATCTGAGTCACCTGGAGCTGCTTTGTAGTTACATGGGGGCTTTAGAAAAAGCCACTCTGAAGGAATTACAGGAAAAGTGTTCTCGGCCTCCAAAAACACACTCCAGAACTTTGCAGGCACTCTTGTTTTTGCACAACTACATGGACTCCCGTGTTCTAAGAGAAGTGGTGTCCCGGCTGCTCCTCCTCCCTCATGACAGCCTCATCTCTCCCAGCAGTGAGGGGACGCAGCCAGAGCTCAGTGTTTACGGCCAAGTAGCTCTGCAAATCCTCACCAAGTGTACGTCTACTTCTTATCAAGACCACGGCAGATTTCTGACACAGGCACACCTTCATGGCCTCGGCACCCTCCTCGTGTCCTGCTCCAGCCCTGAGCTGGAAGCTTTGCTGCTCCAGACTTTGTCCTCCAATCCAGGCAGTGCCAAGTTAATCCACACAGATGTGCTGCTCCACTGTCTACAGAAGCCTGTCCAAAATACTCTGGCTATCAGCGCTCTGCTGCTGGAAAACTGCTCTTCTCATCGCCTCCGCTTTGAAGTCTGGTGCCTAGAATCCACAAATATGGAGAAGATGTTGAATACAAAAGCCTTCCTTCCTCTAGTTAACACGTATTTGCAGGTGGCAAGTAAAGAGGACCCAGCCAGACCTAAAGATGGTGTGTGTAAAAACCTAAAAATAGAAACTTTATTTAAAATACTAAAACATTGGCAATAGTTCTTTACTCTTTTGATACTTTAATGATAATTTAAATTTGTATAAATGTTGTTTTTTAGTGCAAAAAGATGTTTTAAAAGCTTTGAAGCAAACACTGCTTCCCAAACTGTCCTGGAGTATTCTGGAGAACCAGGGCGAGGACTCTGGAGTCCAGTTAGTAGAAACTGCTACGAGTCTCATCAAGCTCTCTGCAGACAGGAACGACATTGAGGATCTGATCACCAATCTTCCAGATTCTCTTCAAAATATAGACAACTACGAAAGGTAAAATTCACAGCAGTACTTAACTAGAAAAGTTGTTTTTCAAGAAAGTAAAGAATACAAGCTAAAGACGAGAGGTAGCAAAGAGCTAGCTAAAAGTTAAAAGAAGTGAAAAGCTGTTTCAAAGCCATAAAAAGTTACTAGGGGTGCAACGATACAGAAAATTCACGATTTGGTTCGGTTCAATACTTTAGTGTCACAGTTCGATATTTTTTCGATACAAAAATTTTAACTTGCTATTTATTTAAATTAATTATGAACATTTGTTCAACCTCAAAAGTGCAGTTTTTAAATTAAATGTAGCTGAAACAGCAAGTTTCTCAGTGGATCTGCGCTCGACAATGCAGCCTAGGTGGAGTAGTTGAACACAGATCCACTGATCCTTCAACACAGAGCATCTTCAGAAGACAAGTTGATAAAGTAAATTTTTTAATTCTGTATTGTTCGATACAAGTGTGTATTGAACCTAAAACACTGTATTGAACGGTTCAATACGGGTACATGTATTGTTGCACCACTAAGAGTTACTTAAAAGTGGGAAAAACCTAGCTAAAACCACAATATAACGGAGTGGTGGCTAAAAGCTAAAATAGCATAAGAAGACAAAAATAGAGCAAGTATGCTGAAGCAAATTTAAAGAGAACAATATTGAAGGAATTGAAAAAAATCAGTATTTCTTTATTGAAATTATTCATAAGTAGTCATAGCACCCATCTTCTGAATGAGCTAAACATTCTCATACATGAAGAGCTAAAATAGCACAAATTATGCAGGAATGAATTTCAAATAATTCATAGAAAAATTAAAAACAGGCACACAATAGTGTGGATGTTGACTGTGGACTCGCCAAATAAAAGGCGTTTTATCACTTTCAGATATGAACTGCGTTTTGTTTTTCTTCAGATGGCAGCTTGTTGATTTAATCTCAGAGAAACTTGCTGATTGCCCAGTTGAACAAGAAAAATGGAGAAAGTCTGTCATGACTTCAGCCCTCAAGTGTCTGATGGCTTCATACTGCCACATAAAAGATCATGCTGCCTCCCCATCAACCCAGGAACAGAGCATCTTAAAACGACTGCAACAACTTATGGTAGGTTTCCTCCTGCGTGTAGTTTATTTAAATATGAGTTATTTTTGTGTAACTTTTCTTTTATACACAGACGTCTCCTGAAAACGTAGCTGCTTCTGATTGGAACAGTTTTGTCAAAAATGGGCTGAGGTAGATGATGCATCCAAATCCATTCTTCATTTATTTTAATTCGGTAATAGAAACATTATTAACTGACATGAAATATTTCCTGAAATGTTTCAGAAATCGCTACGGTGATCACCATTTCCTAAATACTTTAAGTAACTTGTTGGAACTGATGTATGGAAGCAGTGAGATCCAAAAGGACCTGATATCATTATCCACCCTGCATATGATGACCAGCAGCCATTCTCAGTTTCTGCCCACCTTGTTGGACTCCAGAGAAGAGCCCAACAAGTCTCAAGCTAAAGGTCTGTTACAGTCTTTCATTTATCTTTTTAATATTAAACATAGGATATAACAGTTCATTTGTTTATTTTTATGGTGTAATTCTACTAAACTTTAATCCTTGTACCTTAGATATCTTTACATCCCTATTAAACACAAACTTGTGTATTTTGTTGTCGTTTCAGAGGCGCTGATATCCCTTCTTTACTGTCTGGTGAAGAAGTGCCCGACGGTCTGTAACACCAATCACTTTGTTGTACTTCTGGCAGCATACAGAGCCACACTTTCTGCTTCAGGTAAAACACATTTATCAGCCATGAATAAAAAAGTGTTTTTTGATTTGTGTTTTTTTTTTAATCTTAAATCATATTTTGTTCTTAAGATCAAAAGCTGTTGCTGCTTCTTCAGGAATATGAAAAAAACCAAGTCAGCCTGCTTAAATTTCAGTAAGTTAGTCATATATATGCATATTTTTCTTGTTGACCTTGTTAACTGCACTCGTTTGACTTTGTTCCTGATGCTGAGTTTTTATCTGCAGATCTTTCTTGTGGGGCCCTGCTGCTGTGGAGCATCACAAAACCAGGAAAAGCCTGGGAGCCTCTCTGTGGAAGCAGCCGAGCTCAAACGATGTGTTGGCGCTGCTGAACACAGACATGATGAGCCAAACTATTTTAAAGTTTCCTCAGCAGCGCACAATCTTCCCTCAGGTTCATATTTTGAGTCAACCCACGTTTTTTTAATTTTGCACTTCTTAAAATGTATTTATAAAGTATTTACCTCTTCAGTCACTATTTTTTCTTTAAATCATACATAGTCTTCATTAAGTAACACATTTTCATTTATATAAAGATGCTCAATGTAAAACATTTTCAGATGTAGAATATCTTGATATCATAAATATGACAGTTGAGGCATGTTTATTTTTTTTTTTTTTGATTTCTCATATAGGACAGTACAGAGCTGCTGTACAGTAGTGATGCAGTGGAGGATCTTGGAAGTTTGTATGATCCATGTTTTCTTTTGCCTCTGTTCAGTGCCATCTTGCGACCAGGTTAAGATACTTGACCGCCTTACAGAAAACCTAAGTTTTTACAGTATCACCTCTAGTATTTTTACCTCTTACATTTGTTTTCGTTTTTGTGACAGAGTGTGTTATTGACTGCCTCAAGTTTGCATCCAGCCACGCTCTCGGAGTAACTTTAATGGCTCTAAGTAGCTACGACCCGAATATAAGAGCTGCAGCGTATCATGTGCTTACCTGTTTTTACCACCACCTGGAGGCTGCTCGCTTCAGAGAGAAGAGACAGGTACGTGAAGCGTACAGGGTTTAAATATTTTGTATGTGGAGAATCACGTCCTGAAACACTGACGACAATCTGTTTTTCAAACAGCTGCTTTATTTAATGACTGTTGTCAAGAACGGGATTCGAAGGCAGAATCAAAGAGTTCCATTCGTTTTGGCTTCTTACATCAACAAAGTGGCTCAGTTGATGCTCAGACCTGGTGTGTAACCCTGAACACTGTAAAAAAGTCCCTGACTTATTTAACTGTGTGTACTGAACCAAATGTCAACAGCAAGTTAACTCAAAAAGGAAGTTCCATTTTGTTATTTTCTTCTGTTTTTGCACACACAAATGGATTAAAGCTGCAGCTTTCAGGATTGTTGATGTCTCTTTCTGTTTTTTTAGAGGACCACATGTATGTGGTGTTAAACAGGTTTCTGCTGGGCCACCAGGATTTGGACTTGATGCGAATCCCGAATTTCTACAATCTTTTTTGTGGCTTTGAATTAGAGGTAAAGTATTACATTAAAGAAAGTGTTAAAAACTTTGGTTTTGTTTAAGTTAGAGAGTTCCTTCTCTGGATGTTTCAGGAATTTGTATTTTTTTTCTTTTTCCAGTCAGAGATATGACCTTGTTGTGTTTATTTGCTCAGCTCAGGCCATTTTTCAGATTGTTATCTGTTTCTGGGGAAGTGTTTCAGCTGTGGGTGTATGACTCAAACCTTTTTTTTCTCCTGTAGTACAAGATTGAACAAGAATGGATCTTGAATGTGCTTGAGGAAGGGATAAACGATGGACGCAGTTTTGAAATATGTAACCAACAAGGCGTCTTTAAGGTTCTGTTGGGCTTCATCAGCAGCCCTCTGTGTAGTGAATACTTCCAGGTACACATTCCTCTAAACACACTTATTATATACACTAGATAAGTTGCATTAATATGAAAATGTAGTGGAAATACTGAGTGCTAAAAAATTTGTTGAACAAAGAAGCTGAAACTGTTGTTAAAGCTAAAAGAAGTAGAACAAGGGCTGCAACAACAAATGGATAAAATTGATTATTAAAAGTGTTGGCAACAAATTTCATAATGGATTTGTTGTGTTGGGCAATTTATGATGGCATTAATTCAATGATTCAACTTTAAGTTTTAATTTGCTGACAATGTCTGAGAGAAGACACTTGCCTTACTTGGTCATCTTACTGAGTCATCCCCCGTCTCCACTGGCGTGCCACAAGGCTCTGTCCTTGGACCCGTTCTCTGCATTACTTACCTCCTTCCTCTTGGTTACATTTTCCACAAGTTTGGTGTCCGTTTCCATTGTTATGCCAATGACACACAGCTCTACCTGTCAACCAAGCCAAGCTCCACACACCCTCCCTCCATCCTCTCTAACTCTCTCAATGAACTCAATCGCTGGTTTTCAGACAATTTCCTTCAGCTGAATAGTGACAAAACAGAAATCGTCCATGTCGGCGCTAAAAATTCCATCTCAAAATCTAATAATCTCCTCATCCCTATCAACAACTCTCTGCTAACCCCCTCCCTGCTGTTGGAGAGAAAATATAAAGAGATTTTCAAGCATATAGCACACATTTGTGTATAAATTTTTTACTAAAGCTATTTGACAAATATTCACTTTAAATTAATATTATATATAACCTGTTTTTGTGTGATTTGCTATGTCAGTCCAAATTTTCTGTTTTGGAATAAAGAGGTCAAAATTATTATTATTATTTTCTCCAGATTCATCGATTAATCGAAATAAGAAATCAAATGATTAATTGATTATTATAATAACCATTAGGTGCAACACTAAGCAGAAAGCAGGTTAAAAGAAAATAGAAACAAAACACTAGCTAAAATATAATAATAATAATAATAATAATAATAATAATAATAATAATAATAATAATAATGATAATGATGATGATGATGATGATGATGATCACTTTATTCATTCCCAGTGGAGTAATTCACTCTACATTCTTCCCATCCCACATTAGCACAAAGCTGCTCGTGTGTGTGTGATGCATGTGAAATGCAAATATAACTGATTGTGAAATGGTCTTTAAAAATAATTAACAGTGTGATGTGTTTCCTAATGTTAATCTTCACACAGACTCAAATCATCAGGGTGTTGTGTCATGCTGCCCGTGTGACAAAAGCAGCTTATGGTCTCATTAGGAACTGTGGACTGCTGAGCTGGATGTTACAAGTAGTCGAGAAAAGGTAAGATCGTAGCTGTTATCATTTCATTCGTAGCATTACAGCAATAATCAGTTGCATATTTGCTGCATTAACCTGTACTTTTTTTTTAATCTTCAGAAATCTAAACCAGCAGCTGTTATGCTCCTTGATTGATCTGCTCCATGGGCTGTGGTTTACTGTCCTTGGGCAAAAGGAAAAGAAGGTTAATGAGGTCACGTCTTCTACTGATGAGAGTTTTCAGAGCTTAATGAAATGTGTTCCACTTCCATTCATCAGTGAGTTCCTCTGTGTGTCACTGGCCATCAACAGACACCTCAGGTAAAAGCAGTGTATCCTTCAGGCAGGCGACGGATAACACAAGCTGAGATGTCCATCACCATAAATGCCAGCTGTCATTTGGTCAAGGGTCTCAGTGTTTGTTTGATCTCGTCCTCGCAGGTTGGGCGTGAAGGCCACCCACCTCAGCCTGTTTGCGCGGACTCTTTGCTCGTTGCTGACGCACCGGGCGACAGCTCTCTGTTTAAACAAACAAGCCGACCGCCTCACGCTCCGTCCACAGCCACTCTCTTGTACCGAAACCCTCTCTCTGCTCCTCTCCTGGGCCTCCCTGTCCCAGTGCACCGCTCTTCTCACCAAAATACAAGCCTTGTCAGAAAAACACAAGCTAAAGGAGCTCACAGGTGAGTGCCTTCAATAAGTTTGATCGAAACAAAAAATAAATAAATAAAATAAGAACTTGCTTGTGTTGAGACATAATATACACAAGGAAGGAGAAAAATAGCACTGCTGTAGTAAGAATAAAAATCTTTCAATAAACCTCTTAGTGGAGTTTTAGGGTAAACAAACTGATCCACAGCAGGCACAGAAAATCAACCTTAAATTTCCTAACTGCTGTTCTGTTTTTGTAGGTAAACAAATGCATGTAGTTGCTGTAAGTAAGTGAGTCAGTCAGTCAGTCAGTCAGTCAGTCAGTCAGTCAGTCAGTCAAGATTTATTTATATAGCGCCTTTCACAGAAATAAATTCACAAGGTGCTGTACATTCAGGGAAGGGGGAGGGGGCACTTAAGAAACACCCATTCAAGAAGACAAACCATTCAAACATGGGGGAACAGCTTAAACCAGTCATGCAGCAAACACAGTTGCGCTACCTTTAACAAGAAAAACTAAAAACCACACAAGGGAAGATGAGGAAAAAAAGAGAATCAAAACAAAACATCATATTATATCAACAATGTGACACACTATGGTGTTTATTAAAAAAACAAAACCCCTCTGCATAGAGCACATTTATTAGCCAGCTGGCAGCTGGTCACAAAATATGCTTACAAATGTTTAATTCAAGGACACATTAACCATTGATTTAGGAAAAGGTTAAGGAGATTTTGTCATTTACTTTATTATTTATATTTTTATGGTGTTTTAAAAAAGTCTGAAAACACAACCTAACATCTCCGCTCTGCAATTGTTGTAGTGTTGTATTTTAGTTGAGCCTGTTTCCATTCCTGTAGTTAAATTTCTCTTTCCTGACTTCCCAGAACATTTATTCATTTCCATACTGTGCAGCTTTATTAGGTTGCATAACAAGAAGAATCGTTACATTATAAATGCAATACAAACTGTTTTGTTCATCTTTATCCTCAGGTTGGGGGAGGTTTAAGGTGCGAGGTAAAAGCCACGTCTATCAAGGCAGCAGACGAGATGTGAACTCACCAGAGGACAGCAAGACTCTAGAGGGGAGTCTCCTGACAGATTGTAAAGTTCACCTCAGCAGGATCTTTGTTCACTGGGAGCCCGTGTCTCACCTCTCAGAACCCCAGGCAGATCAGTCCGGAGACAAACTGGACCCCAGTGAGTTGGCTGGTGACACTGCACTCCTGCTCACTGAGTGGTCCCTGAGGTGGCTGGTGGAGAACCCCTCTGATGAAAGCGCAACAAGAGAGTTCCTTCACTGGTTTAAAAAGGCCGTGATGAAACACAAGAAAATCAAAAATGCCGTGATGCTCGATTTCGACTTGAAAGCCGACCTCCTTCAGCTCTTCCACCTCACCGTTGAAACTCGGTGTCACTCCAGCTTTGAAACAAGAGTAGAAACGTTGCAGCTTTTTACCAACATTATGATCGGTTTACTAGAGATGCAAGGCCACCCTTCAGATCTCCATCAGTCAGTTCTCTCTGCCTGCTTGTCTCATCAAGATCAGTCAAGATGTGGTAAGAAACTAAGAATGTATTTAGAGTCTTTCTGAGTTTGAATAAAAATAATATGTTTACATTGAATACAACAGAATGGCTCTGAAATTCTAAATACACAATGTTTTCTCTCCTAATATTTTATTTCCATTTGGAGACTTAAGGGGTCAGAAATTTCAATTAGATGTTTATGTTTGATAGCAGATCTGAATACAGATCAACTTTTCTGTCTCTTAGAACAGGAAGGTTTGTGCAGTTTGTCAGCAAATAAAGGCTTTCCTTAATCATTTTGTAAATAATATTTCCGGCACAAGAGGCCTTTACACATTTTAGTGGCTGGACAAGAAAGCAGGGAGGCAGTGAGGGGGGCAGCATTAATCAGTGGTCTGAGGCTGGGACCAAAACATTAGTTAAAAGTGATGAAATAGTAGCTAAAAAGCAAGAAAAAAAGCTTAAAAAAACAATTTTACTCCATGATTGATATAAAGAAGAAATATTTAAACATGTACTGTATGTGCATGTTTATTTTTTTCTGTGTGAAAGCGTAGTAAGCCACACAATGGTTCTCTTTTGTAATAAGTGGCTAATTGAACTTTTGTTTTCTTCTTTCCAGAAGCAGGACTGTTTCTGTTGTCGATGTACATCCATGAGCTGTGGAGTGGAGCCGCCTCAGCAGAACTGTTCCTGTCTCACGTTCGTTTGGTGACCGGAGTCAAGAGCAAAAACAAAAAGGTCTCCACATCATCAAAAACTCAGCCAGCCATCAGAGCGATCTGTAACGACATCATCGCCATGAAAAGATAAATGGAAAATTTGGACACTTGTAAAAAGTAGACTGTGCTTTTACAAACCAATAAATTTAGCTGACTTTCATTTTGATGTTATTTAGTTCTTTATATGAAATGTTACATTTTGAAATCTGTTTTCATGCGAGGTTTCTCTTGTGACGCAGACGTTATTGTGTGATGAAATTGTAAAAATGTGATGAGGAGAAATAAATGTCTTCTCCATGATTTAAGACAAAAATATTTCTGCCTTTTTTAAAATAAAGATTGTCACAAACATACTGTTTGAAACACAAAATCAATGTTATAACGCCTTTGTTTAAAAAGCAGCCTTGTACTTTGTCAAGAAATTGGTTGGGACAAGTAATTATTAACTTTTTTTATGTAAAAGTAAAAATATTTCAATCTTTGTAGTCTCCCTTGTCACCTCATTTTGGAAAATATATATTAAGAGTGCAAACCTTCAAGCATTTGATCCTCTGTGGTGTCCTCTGAGTTTGTGTATCCTGCAATAAACAAAATGCAAAAAATGTTCATCAACATATGGCTTCAAAATAAAAAAATAATACACGTTTAGTGAGAACTCTCAATGACCTCTTTTCAAAATCATTAAATTTTCGGGGGTGGTGGTGGGGGTACACTTACTTTGGCCATTTTCCACTCAGAGACATAAGATTCAAGCTGAGAAAGAGAAATCCCACAAATGCAGCCAGACTTATCCACAATATTATGACAATCGAATCTGAAAATGAAGACGGAAATTACTTTTGACATACTACAAGCACATTTTAAAAAAGGTAATGTACGAAAACCTACATTTATTGTATGTCAGCTTACTCTCGTCCACAATCACAGGATCAAGATAATCATAGTAGTACTCCCATTCATAAGAAATAGCGCTGCTGGAATTTCCAGTCACAGACGTGTCATTCTTGGACACAGCTGTTGCGTTCCCAAGATGGGAAGAAATACTCATAGTGAAAAATAAAAATTGTTTCTGGTTTCAGCATCTGTAAAAGTCTTGGGGGAAAAAATCAGAAAAATATCCGCTACTCTCTCTCTTGAACTGCTCGAGTTTATTCTGCCGCTGTCACTTGTAGCTCAAGAACTGTGTGTAGTGTTTAGAGTTGGCCACAAGGGTGTGTAGATAACTAAATAAGCGAATGAGAGGTTCAAGTTCCACGTTTAAGGGTTAATTCGCGCAACTTTTATTTATGTATTTAATTAAAATAAAAGCAACCAATCAACACGAGTAAACATAACCATATCTAAATTACAATAAAGAAAAAAATACCCAGCTATATTTATGTTTTTATTTAATATTTAAATATGTAAGTTTGTAGTAGCTTACAAAGCATGCCACTTTTAATTCGAGTACGTATGTTTCCAAGAGGATATATAGTCATAGTTCATCCACTTTGCCCACAAGGGGTCTATGCAAGTAATTAATCCATTAACGTAATAGGCCTACGCAACCGTTTTTCAATGACCAGTGGTATTCTTGTGTGTTTGTGAGTAGTTTTACATTTTCCGATAACTGTGAAGGCAACATTCCTTCGTGACGTAATTAGTTGTTGTACGTTGACAGGGTGTTGGAAACGGGAGGTCACTGGTAGCATATTAGCTTAGCAGAGGCCTGGTCAGTAGTTGTCGAGAAGCTGAGATGGTCTTTCGACGTGACTGGTCGTATTGATTTTTGTAATATAACTATATATTATTGCGCTTATAAATAGTAAAACGATTATTCATTCAGTTAAGTTGGTTTAGTATTAAATCGCCATGGATGCAGTGAACGCATTCAACGTGGAGGTAAAGTTGTATTTCGTGGTTTGGTCCGAACAGCCTAATCCAAAGTTACCCCGTTTTTTAGTGTAAATTTCCTCTCTTTTTTTTGGCGTGGATAGTTATAATCCATTAAAAAATGAAAATAGACCTTCCAAAAAATAAAGTGATACATGCTTTTGTTGTTCTGCATTTAAATTGTGTTTGATTAGCATGTTGCGGCCTTGCACGAGACCAATCCCTAACTAGCATCATGTTTAATGCTTAAACACTCAAACTTCATTTTCAATCGTTTTGGTCAAGATGTTTACAGTCATACTGAGAAATGTTGCTAATTGTGTTAGCTTAGATTCGAATCCGTGGTTATAATGAAACGAAAGTGAATCCCGTGTTTTTTGCGTGTTGCTGGAGTCTGGTAAATGTTTACATTAACTTAAAACTGTACGCCACCTAAAGCTTGTTGCTTCCTTAATAATGTAAAAGTAAAACCCCATTCATTGTAGGTTAAGGAAATAAATCCATGTTTGCCTGTTCCCAGTATGTCCTGCTTCTGCTTATCAGTAACTCTTCACAAGTTGACATAGTTTTTTTTTTCCAATTAGCCACCTCAAATGTTTTATTTAAATTTAGCTTGTGTAATGATGACTGTAAACTAAAACTTGTTGCCATACTCACTCTTAAAGTGTACTAATCGTTACAATTTTTACATATTATTTGTGGTATAAACGATGTTCTCACTGAAGAAAATCTTTTGTATCTTTGTCAAATTAAGTTACATTTTTACCCTTTTCAATAAGCTTGGGAATGTCTATTTCATTAAAAAAGAAAAGGGGGGAAAAACACCCCATTCAGTGTACTTGATCAAGTTTGAAATACTTTTCATTTTTGTAAATTTGGAATGCATTTGTTGCTATTTTTATACACAGTATTCTGCAGTGTTAGTGTTATCTGACGTTATTTATTGTGTGTTTCAATTTTTCTTTTAAAATGAACTGATATAAGTTTCTTTTCTTTTTTGTAATAAGTTGTTCTCCATGATTGACATGAAGCCTCCAATATCCCGTGCTAAAATGATGTCCGTAACAAAATCAGCCATCAAGGCTATTAAGGTAAATAAATAAACATTTCTTTGTTACACTAAACAGCTCTGCACCCACAACCTTGTAACAACATAATAAAATGTGCATTTTCCTATTAGTTGTCACAAAACTGCCCCATACATTTTTACTTTTGAACTGAACTAATATAAACACAGAACATAAAGTTTTATCTTTGAGTCTATGACAAATGTCTTATAAGTAAGTAAACATGAACATCTTCATAATATGTTCTCACATTATTTGTGAAATGTTTATATTCATACTGTAATGTTTTGTTGTCACCGTTTTTGAGGTTTTTCAAAGAGAAATGTGGCACAAGTTGTTTCATATACCCTGTTTACCATCACCTATTTTACACTTTGTTTATATATTGCGTTATGGTTTTCTATGACTGACACTTATTTTTTTGTTTATAGCTGTACAAACATGTTGTCCAGATAGTAGAAAAGTTCATCAAGAAGGTATGTATTTGTTTAGCTTGGGTTAATCTAAATCTTTTTTGAGCTCGATTTTTGTTTTACACGTAAAATGTTTTAAAAGAAAGCAGTATAGATTTGCTCTGATTTATTTATTTGTTTGTTTGTTTGTTTGTTTGTTTCAGTGCAAACCAGAATTGAAGGTTCCGGGATTATACGTGGTTGATTCTATTGTTCGGCAGTCACGCCATCAGTTTGGTGTCGAGAAAGATGTATTTGGACCCAGGTTTTTGAAGAACTTCACAGATACTTTCCAAAACCTTTATCATTGTCCAGAAGATGATAAGGTACTTCTTTTAGAACCTTTCGTTATGTTATTGTATCAGTAATGAATCAGTTAAAACATATATTTTGTAACATGTTATATGGATGTTTGTTTTTTAACATATTCAGAATAAAATAATTCGTGTGCTAAACCTGTGGGAGAAGAATGGAGTGTTTAGCATGGATATCCTTCAGCCTCTGATGGACATGGCCAATGGTGGTGCATATTCTCCTGCTCTTGAAGGTAATGAACCTCTGGTAGTATTTGTACATAAAGTAATGTTGTGCTTTATTTAATTTATTATTTGTTATAGTAGGCTGTTAAACCATGCTGTATTATGTCTCTGAACAGCTACCATTAAGCCCCAACCAGAAACTACATCTCCTGTTTGTAATCCCTCTGTGATGCCTGCAGAACATCAGTTACCCAGTTCAGATGCTTTAGCTGCTGTGGCACAACTGCTTCAATCTCCCCAATGTCAAGAGGTAGGCTATAAGTTGGCCTTAGCCTTTTTCAGTTGTTTCTTATGTCAGTTGCCTCTTTTTACCTCTCCTCCAGCTGCAGATGATGCTCCAGAACATTCAGCAGGCAGATAAGACTCTGGGAGCCACCGCCATTGCAAACCACATACCCAGCCCGACCCAGACGTCAGTGACTCATCTCAACTCGCATGGTGCTGAAACTGTAAAGAAAAACTCTTCAGCTGAGGTAATACCATAGATCAATATCACAAAATGATGTTTCATTATTCTCTAAAACGCTTCCATGTTTTTTATTTTTTAATCTTCCCAGAAACTGCTCAGTCGATTTGATTACAATGAAGAAGTTGCAGAAATGCCAGTTTCAGACGTCAACGTTCATTTACAGTGAGTCAAATTTTAGGTTCACTGTAACTGACATGATTCTGTATATTCAGTTTTAAACAGACCATTTAAAACAAGGCTATATTTTTTGTTGCTGTTTTTCATACAAAAAGTTTGATGTTTTGTCAGCTTATATTATAACTGTTAGTCTATTTTTACAATTTTAATTTGTTTTTAACTTCTGGATGTCTGTAGCAGAAGCTTATGAGTTTGGCTGCAAGAATACAATTAACAAGGTGGCACCCATAGTTATGTGACTTGCATAACTCACAAATGAATCTAAGCTAATTATTGATTTGTTTGTTTTATTAAAATGTACATGCAGATTGTACAACCCTGTGGATTGAATACCAGTAAGAATGGATTGTAATTTTAGCATGTTGTATCCCTCTACGAGCTGAGAGGTTCTTAAATAGGTATATTCATCATTTTGGGAGCAGAAACTGCAAAGACACAGTCCTATCTACTTTTAGTCATGATGTAGAAATGTTTTTATTACATTAAATATTTGTGGTTTATTGACTGAATTTGTATTGTGTCTTGACAGAGGCATTCCTAAAAATATGTTGAACCAGTTTCACGGGCAGATGCTGAACACAAATGCTCATCTTGATATGGTGGGACAGGCAGTGGATATAAAGGTATTGTTTTATACTTACAAAATACAATAACTCTGGTTATGTCAAATGAGCAGTTTTACTGTGTTTTATTCAAAGATCATTTACAACCAGGTGTTAGCATATCAAATGTGTATATGCAGGGATGCTTCGAAATCTTTTGTTAAATTTAAACGACTGCATTTGTGGTGCTGCAAGCTTCTTTTAAAACTAGAAGCACTCGGAGAGCAATCACACAAAAAGGTTCTTATGGAGGGGTACCTGACAAGGTTGATCAGCTGTTCTGGACAGTGCAGGTTCGGCTCAGCTGCAGCAGGACCCTCCTCCCGCTGTCGGTGTCCTGTTATTCCCGTAACTTGAAGAGAATCTCATTTCTTTGACTACGTTTCCAGACAGCATGTAACATCGTCAGAAGTAGTTGATAACAGAATAATCACAACTTTCCTGATAGTAGACATACTGGGATGTGTCCGTCTTCGTTTCGTCTCCAAAGCCTGTTCAGAAGCTTCTGTCTACTAACGTCATCATGAACACAACATACAGAACCCTATAAAAGTAGTGATAATTAAACAGTTTCAAAATTAACACATTATGCCTCCCGTTTGACATGAATATTATTGTGACATCTCTGACCTGCCAAATTTTTAAACCAATTTTATTTTTACTTTCATAATTTTATATTCAACTGCTTGTAATTTTAACTGTCTTGAATGTTTATGGAAATGTATTTTTACCAGCTTGTAGCCAACATTCTGACTTTTCTGTAGATACCAAACATGTCTATGTTTAACTAAAAGACCTTAAATTAATTAAAGTAGAAAATTGGGGGTTTGGTCTGAAGAGATGAATGAACCAATTGGTGGTCCGAACTTTGGTCACTCGTCGGCCGGATGTGGCCTGCGGGCCGTCATTGAATAGCCCTGCTGTATTCATTATTCTGCTTGTTTTGTTAAAACAGTGTTTTTAGATGCTTCTTTATCTTACAGCACAGTAGAGGAATGAGTTATGGTGAACATCACTTAACACCAGATGGATATAACTCTTTACAAGATTCGTACGCTCAGTCACGGGTAGGCATTCCAACCTGTTTTTTTTGTTTGTTTTTGATTGTTTTTAACCTAAGTTGTATAAGCTATCATTGCTACCATAATTTGTAGAAAAGAGTTAACTAACTGTAGGTTTAATGCAAAACTTGTAGAAAACTCATTTAATCAAAAAGTTCTTCTGTCATCAATGCCTAACAGGAAAACTCGAAAGAAAATTCATCTACAAGGCTTGAAGACAGACGAAGAAGCTATGGCAGGAGATCGAGATCCAGTTCCAGGTAACTGATGTCTTGACAAACAGTTGTGCAACACTGTTCATATATTTTATGTGGTGGACTACTTTAATTGAAGTCTTCGTTAGGACTTATTTTAACCTTTTCTCTTAGTCTCGGAAATCAGGGACAAAGTTTACAATAAAATCACGGACCAATATGTGCTGATATTTTACTTTTGTACTGAGCTGAGATCAAAAGTTGCTTTACATAATAATGGTAACAAACGAATGATTATAAATAGTTCCTTGCTCAACATCTAGAACTTATTGAGATCTTGTTAATAAAAAACAACTTTAAGATTTGAGTATAAGTCCCTCAATGATCCTTGAGAACTTTTAGGTCTTAATATATCAAATTTTGAAAAGGCTAGAAGGGTTAGATTTCATCATTTTATCAGAGCTGAGTTTTCTGTGTTCACAACACAATCCTAGAGTTGAAAATGTTTGCACCTCGCTTGTGTGTGTTGCTTAGTAAGTGAAGAGTTGACAGAAGGATGAGAAGAATACCAGCTGCCATTGGAAGCTTAATGCTTTGTGCATTATTCTTTTGGGCACTCTTGGACTTTGACACATTATCTCCCTTACCATTATTGCAAATGATGTTCGTCCTTTGTGGCAATAGTGTTTTCTAATGAGATGACCTCTTTGCGCAGAATCGTGTAATCAGACTCGCTGCACAAAAAATTCCTGGAATTATTTATGTTGACAGCCTGTGCAATTATAACTACATCCTGTAGTGTAGATTTCAAAACAAAGTACATTTTTATGACTGAGTTGATGTGTTTTCTTTTTAATGTAACGGTAGAAAGAATAATGCTGTGCAAGACACAGCAACTTGATAACGTCATGTTCAACAGTTTTGTTGTTTGTTTTTATTTCAGATCTCCTAGAAGAAGGTCAAGATCTTCATCTCACACTAGATGGTCAAGGCTTCGACGCTCTCGTTCCAGAGATCAGCACAGGAGATCTCGTTCACGTTCCCAGGATAGGAGTGAAAGAGGGAAGGACCGAGAAAGCAGGCAGAGAGGTTTTCCCAGCATAAAGAGCCAGACACTCGGTGGTACGTGCTCAATAAGTTTTACCTTTAAAGTATTTTTTTATTATTTCATTTTGTAAGTTTCAGTCCTGTGGTTTTACCCATTTAACACATTATTCAGTTATTTTTTTTTTAGCTTGCTTTTTTCCCCCTAATTTAATGTACGCAAGTTGTATATGGAGTGTAATTTGATTACACTCGGTTGAATGTTATTTTGTGCGTTCAAATCTTGCTGTGTGCTCCCTTTAAGCCTTTATTATTCTCTCCATAGTTTTGAGTCATGATAAACTTGTACTTGTGTGGGGCTCATCCTCTTAAGTACCTTGAATCTCAAAGGTGTGCAAGTTAAAAAGACAATGTTGATGGAACATTCCTGCTAATCATAAAACCTTTTTTTTTCTGGCCAAAGATGTGAAGTGAAAGTCCAAGAAATTGATACTGTAGATCCCAGTATTTAAATTTGAGCATCAAAATTGGACCAGAACCAGATGTCAATTGTGCATCTCTTCTTCGAGTCTTTCAAACCAGTCCTGTCATTTTCCCACCAGCAGCAAAATTACATGCTCACCATTCACTTCATTTGTACAGCCCACTCACCAAAACCAAAATTTTGGGATTAGTTCCTTTGTTGTTGTGTGTAGGAAGTATGTTTTATATGAAAGTTAATACAAAACAACTTGAATTTCATTTAGTTATTATGACCTCCACACGCGAAGCGTAAGCAGGAGGCACATTGTTTTCGTACTGTTTATTTATTTTTTATTTTTTTATTTATTTTTCAGTGATTTTTGGTCAACAGTAGCACAAAAACAGCTGCACCAATCAATTTGATAATATGAAATTTGGTAGAATGTAGTTGAGTCTGACCTACACTGCGCCAGCCAACGGTTTTACGATAGACCCCATACTTGAGGAGGGGGCTCCTTTCAAAGAGGGGGTGTCAGGACATGCAAAATCACTTATAACTCAATCTGTTCAACATAAAAGCTTCAGATTTCTTTTGTTGTTTAGCTCTGATGAAGCTCTATCCATCAGGCCCATCATCAGTGCCCCCTCACCCCTCCGGACCCCCAATTTATCTGAAAAAGCGGTGTCTGGACATGCAAAAATGCTTAAAACTCAGAAACTGTTCAACATAGGAGCTTCAGATTTCTTTTGTTCTTTAGCTCTGATGAGGGGCTGTCCATCAGGCCCACCAATCAGTGTCCCCACCCCCCCGGACTCCCAATTTATCTGAAAAAGATGTCTGGACATACAAAAATGGTTATTGCTCAAAAACTATTAAACATAGCTTTAGATATTTTTTGTTGTTTAGCTCTGATGAGGGGCTATCCATCAGGCCTACCAATCAGTGCCCCACCACCCCCCCACAAAGAAAAAAAAAGACCTCCACCCAAAAGACCCCCACCCAAACCACTACAATATTGGGATKCAYCTAGTAGCATGACATTTATTAGGAATAAAGACGTCTGAGTTCTGGTGCATTTGTGTGTGCGAAAGTCATTATTGTTAACGCTATGCGGTATCTAGTTTATTTATTTATTTTTGTTTTTTTAGTTTGCAGTACCACACTTTGGGTTGGACAGCTTGACAAGAAAACTCAGCAGTCTGATGTGATGTCCCTTTTAGAAGAGTTTGGCCAGATTGAGTCGATTAATGTAAGTTTGAACATTTTATTGCAAAAGTATTTTGCGGCTACTATATACAAAATGTATTTTTTTAAACTTTTCTTCCTGTGGTCTAGATGATTCCACCTCGTGGTTGTGCCTACATTGTTATGGTTCACAGACAAGATGCCTATACTGCTTTGAAAAAGCTCAGCAGAGGGTCATACAAAGTCAATCAGAAACCTGTTAAGGTATGTGCTTGCTAATTCATATTTCTAGCTCAGTGTCGTATTTCTTCTGTGTAAGATTTATTGTTCTGAGTTACACAATTTGTATACCTAATCCCTTTCCCCCACAGATTGCTTGGGCGTTAAACAAAGGTATAAAACCAGCTCACAAAAAGTTCTGGGACGTTGAGCAGGGAGTTACTTACATTCCATGGAGCAAAGTCAAAGTTGAGGAGTTGGAGAGCTATCAAGAAGGGGGTATGCTGGATCCAGAGACGCTAAATCCAGGTAAGGTTGAGCTTTTGTTAGCATGAGCTGAAGTCACTGAAAGAAAAAAAGTCTTAATTTGGCATTATACTGTCATTGCTCTAGAGTGGAACAATTCCAAGGAACTCAACAACCAGCCAGCTGCAAACAGAGCATTGGAAATGGTACCAGATCCGACTCTCACTGCTCACATTCAGGTAATGCTTATGCAGTCCTTTAACGCTTTCTTTTTAAAAATGGTGTTCTTGTTATTTTGGTTAATTGGGCTTGATGAGGACGTTGTTTCCAAATTTTTCTTGTTGCTGCTGTAATAAAAATAAACTGTTCTTGCAAATAAGTGGTGGAGCTTATCTGAATCAGACTGCTTTTTCATATATTTCATCAATTAAAAACGTTTTTAAGAAAGGCCTAGAACTTTAAGTTTTAAACCGTTATGTCAGGACTTAAACAGTGAAAATTACATTTAAAAATCAGTTTCAATATGTTATTGGCTGCATCTTCTTTTGATTTTTTTGTTCAGTCCTGGCATATTATCAGCTTCAGGAGTTCCATATGAAATAATGCTATAAAGATTTTTAAAAAATTAACAAAGGACCACATTTTATATTGGAAAAATACAGTATATTGTATATAGTAAATGGTCTATTGTGTTGCACTTCTAAAAAAAAGTGTATTCTGTTGAAATATGAAAGCAAGTTCAGTTACAATTGCCTGTAGATTTTGTTTTCTAAAATAATTTATGTAATAAGTTAGTCCACAGTAAACTGTGTAAATAATAATAAATAAATAAATAAATAAATAATAATATTAATGTATTTGGTGTTAATTCTCTACTTTGACTTGGTTACATACAGATACTTAGACTGATTATTTAGATAAATTTGACTGTATTTAAAATTAAAATTATGATTCTTGTGCTTTGTGGGTTACGTGTTAAGTCACAATAGTAAAAGGGGTGCTATATAGTATTTATAAATTATTCTATGCAAGTTGTGCAGTAACTAAAATCACAACAAATATGTGCGACACAAAAGAATTAACTTTAAAAAAAATTCATTTCTATTTTGTTTTTTAAAAAAATATTAATTCTGCATGGGTATTTGACCAATTAAACTGTTATCCAGATGTTTTTCATAATGACTTTCTTTGCATTGAACCAGCATTTTTCTGGTTTACCAAATGATAAATCCAAATTACTATTTTTATCTTCCTCGCAACTATTCAGATATGCTCCTCTACTTGTAGAGTTTGCATTTAGGGATGCCTATTCATTCATTTCTTCTCTCTTTCTTACAAAGTCTTTTCATCTCCAATCAGTAATCTTGTACTGTTTTATCAAACACATTCAAATAAAATTGAGATTAAAAAACTTTAATTACTGTGGTATGTGTGCAGGGAAGTATTTCTGTTTTTCTTTCTGTGTTAACGAAACTATTCAGAATGTGTGGAGCACGTTGATCATTGTGTGTTTCGCAGGAATATTGTAAATGCTTATTTTTGTCAGCATAGTGCACAAAAACATTTAGCAATTTACTAATGTGTAAATGGGCAAATCTTTAAAATTTAAGAACATTTGTCAGTCCTAACAATTAAAAATGAAACCGTATAAAGAGCAAAAGTGAATGGCAAGCTCTAAAAAGTAGTTTCAATAAAGTTAATGAACTAGCTGCATGAAAGTGACCTAAGTCAGATTTTTAAAAACTGTTTGTTTTGTTTGTTTTTCCTTATATGCGATTTATATCAGATACAGTGGTTTGCAAAAGTATTCATACCCCTTGAACTTTTCCATATTTTGTCACATTACAACCACAAACATAAATATATTTCACTGGAATTTAATGTGAAAGACCAACACAAAGTGGTATACAATTGTGAAGTGGAAGCAAAATTTTACATGAATCAAAACATTTTTTACAAATAAAAAACTGAAAAGTGCGACGTGCAAAAGTATTCAGCCCCCTTTTCCCTGAGTGCAACCAATTGCATTCAGAAGTTGCCTGATGACTGCTAATGACTCAAAAGGGTCCACCTGTGTGTAATCTAATCTCAGTACAAATACAGCTGCTCCGTGACGGCCTCAGATGTTGGTTAAGAGAATATTGGGGAGCAAACAGCATCATGAAGTCCAAAGAACACACCAGACAGGTTAGGAATATGGTTTTGGAGAAGTTTAAAGCAGGCTTAGGTTATAAAAAGATTTCCCAAGCTTTGAACATCTCACGGAGCACTGTTCAATCCATCATCCGGAAATGGAAAGAGTATGGCACCACAGTAAACCTGCCAAGAAAAGGCCGTCCACCTAAACTTACAGGCCGAACAAGGAGATCACTGATCAGAGAGGCAGCCAAGAGGCCCATGGTGACTCTGGATGAAATGCAGAGAGCCACAGCTCAGGTGGGGGAAACTGTCCACAGGACAACAATTAGTCGTGCACTACACAAATGTGGTCTTTATGGAAGAGTGGCAAGGAGAAAGCCATTGTTAAAAGAAAACTATAAGAAGTCCCGTTTGCAGTTTGCCAGAAGCCATGTTGAGGACACAGCAAACATGTGGAAGAAGGTGCTTTGGTCAGACGAGACCAAAATTGAACTTTTTGGCCACAATGCAAAACCTTATGTGTGGCGGAGAAAGAACACTGCACATCACTCTGAAAACACCATCCCCACTGTCAAATATGGTGGTGGCAGCATCATGCTCTGGGGGTGCTTCTCTTCAGCAGGGACCGGGAAGTTGGTCAAAGTTGATGGGAAGATGGATGGAGCCAAATACAGGGCAATCTTGGAAGAAAACCTGTTGGAGTCAGCAAAAGATTTGAGACTGGGGCGGAGGTTCACCTTCCAGCAGGACAACAACCCTAAACATAAAGCCAAAGCTACAATGGAGTGGTTTAAAAAAAAAGAATATTCATGTGTTAGAATGGCCCAGTCAAAGTCCAGACCTAAACCCAATAAAGAATTTGTGGCAAGATCTCAAAACTGCTGTTCACAAACGCTCTCCATCCAATCTGACTGAGCTTGAGCTGTTTTGCAAGGAGGAATGGGCAAGAATTGCAGTCACTAGATGTGCAAAGCTGGTGGAGACATACCCTAAAAGACTTGCAGCTGTAATTGCAGCAAAAGGTGGCTCCACAAAGTATTGACTCAGGGGGGCTGAATACTTTTGCACATCGCACTTTTCAGTTTTTTATTTGTAAAAAATGTTTTGATTCATGTAAAATTTTGCTTCCACTTCACAATTGTATACCACTTTGTGTTGGTCTTTCACATTAAATTCCAGTGAAATATATTTATGTTTGTGGTTGTAATGTGACAAAATATGGAAAAGTTCAAGGGGTATGAATACTTTTGCAAACCACTGTATTTTTAATGATAGTCTTAACATGTCAATCCAAGCTATTACAAATCTAACCCAGATCTCTCGTAGGTACTACATTGAATGCATATCCAATTATTTTCTAAGTGACTGCAGTCTTAACGGTTATGTTTCATTTCACTGAACGTATTATGTCATAAGGTTGGGGTATACAGATTGATCCAGATATTAGTGATACCAAAGTCAGAATTCTGCGCATCTTTAACTACTGAACAGAAATCTAGTAGCTTCATTTTTTTTAACTAGATGTACGGTGTTCTGAATGACTCAGAATTTACACAAATATTAACAGTGATATTATTATTAGATCAAATTTATACTAGATATTCTAGCATGATGGGATTAATACTTGAGTATTTCTACTTTCAGTACATCTTTCCCATTCCAGAAGTGCAATTCTGCACCTGAGTGGGCAAGAAGCGGCAATAAAACAAGCATGGAATATATTAATTTAGTCGTTCAGGTTGCACAGCAACTTCTTAATCGGGTCGACATAAGCATTGTTTAGGTTGTCCGAGACAACCTATTTTCGTTTCGGACAACCAGATCCCGCCTCCCAGTTGTCCGGTGGACAACCAAGAAAAAAGCAGCGGGTGTTCTTCATTGTAAAAATGAACGGGAGAAAAAAAACTTGTTAAAGGCATCTAGGGATTAAACTGACGTTTTTTTCACCAGATAAAGAGAACCACAGTCAAAGTTTTACCCAATCAGAACAGAGCAGGGCGGGTCGTGCCGTCTGACTGACACCGCTGCCTTTTTTCTTTCTCTGTGGGTAGGGGGTCATCTGCTTCACTCAGTCCAGGAAACGCTGAGGGGTTTTCCTGGGAGGTGTTCACCTGAGCTATTTTCCACCGAGGATTACGTCGTATTTTATAAATATATTTCCAAAAGCATCTCGCAGCATTTCTCCTGTAACACCATGTGTTCATGAGCACAACAAAACCGCGACAGTTCTCCTGACTGGTTTTAAAGTGGAGGCTGAGAGCCAGTTTGACCGCAGCCACAGCACCTCTTCACGTGCACCGTGGCCCCGACTGGCCCGGGATGTCAGAGTACACATGTCCACCCCTTCAGATATTTACATGTATAATGAGCATCACAAATCAGTAATTTTCGCAAAAAATCAGTATTAATCACATGCGRGTGGGGTGGAGGTGCAAGTGGACCACAGTGGGGTGGGGTGGGGGGTGTGCTGTGTCTACATTTGACTTTGATCTTCTTCTAAAATCAGAGCTCTCTGAGTCAGCTTCAGGTGCTTGTAGTTAATCTTAGTGTTTTAATGCCTTTACATTACACAACAATTATAGTGGAGAAACTTGTCAGTTTGATTTAAAAAAACAGTAAAAATAAATTGTTTTTCTGTGCAGAGAATTTCCTGTGCTATAATTTTTTTAAATATATCAAAGCTCCTCAGTTGAAAACACTAAAATGAGTTTAAATCCCCTTTCTTCAGAAAGTCTTCAGTCCTAAGAACACTAAACTAGCTTTAATAAGGTCATGTAGACAGTAGGCTATACTACTATTTAAATTAAAATGTTTGTCCTGTAAGCAGAAAGTTATGGTTGTTGGATGTTGATTTTTGCTCTCTATTTCAAAGAAGAGGATGAGGAGGTTTTTTTACTCAAGCATCTCCTGAAACTGTTAACCTGCTCACTGAGAACATTTGTAAATAGTAAACTTTTTGTACGAAACAATATAGCCTACCTATTAAATTACATTTTAATTTAGATTTTTTTGGACAATCAAAACGTTTTGCGGACAACCACATTTTGTCAACAGGTTGTCTGCTGGACAACCTAAAAAAAATCCTTATGTCTACCCCTGT